GGGGTACAGGGGCACAGGGGCGGGGCTAGAGTGGGAGGGGACTCAAGGAGGGCGGGCAGGGGGCGGGGCCGGAACTGCCCACCCCAGCGACCCGCCCGGCTGGTAGAGGAGACCTCTTAGCCTTCCCTGGGCGGGGCGAGGGTTCTGTTCTCCTGGGAGAGGCCGCAGGTCGGCCGGCGGCCCCAGTTTGGTGTTTGACCACCGGGGTGGGAGGAGATGCGCAGCTCTGCGCAGCGCCGACCCGTCTGCACTCCCATCTTGGCCTTGCCAGACCCTGTGCTTCCGCGTCCGCAAGATGATCGACGTCTATAAGCCTGACTGGTGCGAGGTCCGCGAGGACTGGTCTGTCTACCTCTTCTCCCCTGAGAACAGGTGGGCGAGGCCAGGCTCGGTGTGAGGTTAGAGTAGGGGGTTGGCGTGTCCGGGAGGGAGAGATACTTGCCAAGCCAGGCAAGGCTCCTGGTAGCGGGTCTTCCATAGTCCAGAGGACCTTTCTGGCCCAGTGGTGGAGGGTCTGCAGGGCTGGGGGAGGGTCTAGGTGTTCATGCAGGGGCGGGGGATGGGGGCTCCCTGGGCATCCCTAGTCCAGGCCATTCCTGTGCTGACACCAGGTTGGCCAAAAACTCATGTAGCCTGGGGTGCTCACATCTGGAGGGGGCATCAGTAGGCCTCCTGGAGGAGGAGGCCTTTGTGCTGGATTTTGGAGGCTATGGAGATAGTATTCCAGTAGGTGAAGCAGGGGTTGTGAGGAGGTGGAGGCTGGTCCAGGCGGAGGGAGCAGCCTGAGGGAAGGCCTCGGGGGCAGAAGCTGGGGGCATCAGGCAATGTGTGTCCAAATGGCTGGAGGTCCAGGCTTAGAGCTTTGAACCGGTGTTTGGAAGGCCTTGAGTGCCAGGGCAAGATGGATGGCCTTTATCCTGTGGTGCCATGTGCTCAGGGGAGGCAACTCTGAGTGGGCACCTGAACAGACCTGAAGTCACCACCTGTTGTGTGGCCCGAGAAGAGAGATGTCTGCTCCTCATGGCCATCCTAGTCCCCATGTGTGTCTGGGCCCTCTGGGGCAAGGGGCACACTGACACTCATGTGGCACCCTGCCCACCCTGCCCAGGTTTCGAGTCCTGTGTCAGACCATCATTGCCCACAAGCTCTTCGACTATGTGGTCCTGGCCTTCATCTTTCTCAACTGCATCACCATTGCCCTGGAGAGGCCCCAGATCGAGGCCGGCAGCACCGTGAGTGGGCGAAGCCTTCGGGCAGGGCGAGGGACAAAGCGGAAGGGCAGGCCGCCAGGGCCTGCTATGGGACACTGTGAGGGGCTGAGGGGGCTAGGAGAGCTCAGCCAGGCCCCACACCAGGCACCGTGGAGGGAGGTGTGGTGGGAGCTTGCCGCTGGAGATGGGACGCCTCCTGAGACCCAGGTAGCAGCAGGGTGCCCCTTGGCTGAAGGCAAGAGGCCGACCAGGGGGCTGAGCAGTTTGGAGAGCCCCCGGGCCCACAATATCTCCCTTCTTTCAGGAACGTATCTTCCTCACTGTGTCGAACTACATCTTCACAGCCATCTTCGTGGGCGAGATGACGCTGAAGGTAGCCCCCAGCTTCACCGGGGACCCTCTCCCACCCCCAGCGTGGGGGCCCTTGGCTCTGGGCAAACCCCTTAGAAAGCTTGTCACTCACCTGTCCCTCGGCCACATTCCACAGAGGGTGTGGGAGGCCCACCCCCGCTAGGTGCCAGGCCCTAGGTTGGGCTCCAGGGACCCGGAGGGGGTCACTCTCCAGGAGCTCATATCCTGAGGGAAAGGCGAATGCAGGGGAACATTTACAGTGTCACCGAGATACTTGCTGGAGGTGTGGGGTGCAGGGGAAGGATCCCTTTCCGGATGCTGCCCACAGCACTTGGCTTTGAATCGAATTGGGTTTGCCAGATATGCGGCGAGTAGGCAATGGGGTGGCTCGCCGGGCCTGTGTTTCAGGGGGGCAGCGGGGTACCTGACCCCTGCCAGACCATCCGCCCAGCCCTCTGCCTGTCTGCGTCCTGACCCCTCACTGAGGCTGGCTACACCGCCCCGCCCCCCAGTCGCGAAGTCGGGCTGACTCCGCCCATCGCCCCGCCCCCAGGTTGTCTCGCTGGGCCTGTACTTTGGCGAGCAGGCATACTTGCGTAGTAGCTGGAACGTGCTGGATGGCTTTCTGGTCTTCGTGTCAATCATTGACATAGTGGTGTCTGTGGCCTCAGCCGGGGGAGCCAAGATCCTAGGGGTCCTTCGAGTCCTGCGGCTCCTGCGCACCCTACGGCCCCTGCGGTGAGGATGTGCCCGTGGATGGGGGAATCCCTGCACGTTCCGGTGAAGCGCCCGGGGTCTAAGTGGACCTCTCACCCTAGCCCTCCTTACCCACTCATTCCTCTGATAGCACGTGCCAGATTAGCAGGGACAGGGACCAGGCCGTTGAAGCTGTTCCTGGGGGTGGAGTCTGGAAACCCTAGCGGGAGAGGGGTGCTGAAGAGGCAGGGCTGAAGGTGGCCCCCAGGACTGCTACCCACTTTCTGAGTGTCCCTGGGTGGCTCACTGCCATTTCTGGCCCTCAGTCTCCAGATGATGGTGTGGTGTGGACCCCAGGGGGACAGGGGTAGGGCATAGTGCCTTCCTGTGCATATAGATCTGGGGTCTGAGGTTCTCTACCCTGGTGACTCTGGGCACAGTGGGTGCTGTCTCCAGACATGGCTGTGGGCTCATGGTGCCTCTGCCCCTTTCTGCCTCCAGTGTCATCAGCCGAGCGCCTGGTCTGAAGCTGGTGGTGGAGACGCTCATCTCTTCCCTCAAGCCCATTGGCAACATCGTCCTCATCTGCTGTGCCTTCTTCATCATCTTTGGCATCCTGGGGGTGCAGGTGAGGGGTGCTCAGGCTGGGCAGGCGCTGGGGTGAAGTTCGTGGTTGGGGAAGGGGCTCCATATTCCTGCTCAACTCTCCCGACCTTGTGTTGACCAGCCTGGGGGCTCAGGCGGCCCTGGTAGAGCATCCCCGTCCCTGCCGGTGGTGAGCTCTCAGTCCAGGGAGGGAGGCAGACACAGACCTAAACATCTGAGTGCAAAGAAGCCTGGGTAAATGGGATCACAGGGGTCCAAGCTACACAGAAACATAGGGCTGCTGGGAGCAAGAGGAAAAGCATCCAGAAGGCAGTGGCCTTGGCATTGGGCCTTGAAGGAAAAGTGATCCCGCAGATCATGGTGGGTGGAAGGTATTTCGGGGGAGGGTAGGCATATGCGTGGAGGTGAGCTCAGGAGCTCTGGCTGGCATAGAGACATGAGCCAGATGGTGGGCTGGGCCAAGGTGGGAAAGACCTGGAACAGCAGCTGAGGAGCTGGGGCCAGTTTCTCTGGGGCAGAGACTTTGGAGAGTCTCGGACACAGGCAGGGCCTTGAGCTAACTCGGATTTTGGCTTGGAGCTCAGGAGGAGGACGGGACCTTAGGGCTGGACAGGGAGGAGGAGTGAGGCAGATTGTAAAAGTGTGTGACAGGGGAACGGCCAGAATGACCTGGGCCCTCTGGGGTCTGAGCTGCTGCTGAGACCTTCCTCTTCCTTGCGCCGAGGCCCCCAGGCTCCTCACCTGGTCCTGGGTTTGGGGCTGTGGCTGCAGAGGATTTCCGGGCACAGGTGTGCTTTGGGGTTGCTAAGAGATCTGTAACAGCCACCTGGGCAGGAGGGGTGTGGTGTGGACTCCATGTGGACAGTGACACCGCCCCTTCCAGGCAGAGCGCCTGGGTCCCTAGAGAGGGTCCCTTTACTTCTGTCTCTCACCCTTGGGGATACGCAGACAACTTTCTCCTGTTGAGTGTCTGCCCGCATCCCCGGGACTGAAGTGAGGTCTGAGAAAGAGCCCAGAAGTCAGACAGACCAGGGTGGGAACCTTGGCTCTGCTACTTTCTAAACCTCCTAGGACTTTGGGGAAATTACCTAACACTGCTGGGCCTCAGTCTGCACATCTGTGAGATGGGCTGAGAGTAGCCCTCCCTCGTGTTGGGGGACTCGGTGAGGTGGTGTGGTCGGGTGCCTGGCCCACGTCGTGCACAGAGGGAGTGACCCTGCGGGACAGGTTCCTCTTCTGATTTGCAGCCCCCTGACCCCCACTCCGGGAGCTTCGGCAGACCCATCACTAACCCTGTGGTCCTCCCCCCCCCGCCCCAGCTCTTCAAGGGCAAGTTCTACCACTGTCTGGGTGTGGACACCCGCAACATCACCAACCGCTCTGACTGCGTGGCTGCCAACTACCGCTGGGTCCACCACAAGTACAACTTTGACAACCTGGGCCAGGTGAGTGCCACCTGCGTAACCCCTGCCCTGACCCGCCCCTCCAGTGGGTGGGGGTGCCGGCTCTTCAGTGCCAGCGGCCCTGGAATCATAGATCGGGCTCTGGTCCTGCTCTGCCAGGACCGACCCTGTGCCTTCTCCTTTCCAGGCCTCAGTTTTCTCTTCTGCAAAATGGGTGGGGGGTGGAACTCACCTCACAGGTAGCATGAAGCTTAGAGATCCTGAGTGCAGAGTGTCCCGGAAGTCCCTGGCGCTTAGTAGGTGCCTCAGTGGACATTGGTTTCTGGCCCCCACCCCCGACCCAGGGGACCCGGACAAGAGTTTTAGAGACAGCCAGACCTGGATGTAAGTCTCAGCTCTGTGCCTCTTATTGTGGGTGTAGGCTCTCTGAGCCTCAGTTTCCTCATCTGTAAAATGGGAATGTGATGGCCTACCAGGCAGGCAGTGGTGACAAAGTGTAGCAAAGCCCCTGGCCCGGGGTCAGGGCAGAGGGGGGGGGTTCCTCTTCCGGCACCCATCTACTTTGCTCTCCACCTCAGTGGGCTGGCAGGCCCCCTGCCCAATTCCTGCCTTGCCCTTTGTCTCCTCTCCTGGGGGCCTGCCAGGCTTGACCCATTGGGTAGTGCCCAGCTGAGAACCTCCACCTGGCTGCCTCCAAAGAACCTCATGCTTCCCCCCAATATTTACTGTTTCTTGAGGGCCCACCCAGGTGGCTAGGGATGATCAGCAGACCTGGCGGGTCACACAAGGAGGAAGCAGGATCGAGGTCTTTGTGACCCAGGGGACCCTCTGGCTGGCCGGATGCCTTTGAAACTCTCCCCTCACGTGACGAGGGATCCCTCTCCACCTGCCCCCTGGGAGGGGCCGTGGGGCCACTGAGAAGCAGTGAGTGGGCAGGGAAAGAGGGTCAGGAACTGGGACACAGGAGCTCCCCCGATCCCCTCCAGATTTCCCAGAAGCAGTCAGTGCCTTTCAAGTTGTTAACAACTCAATGGTTGATAAAACAGAGGTTTTAAAATCCAGGAAGCCAAGGGAAGGCCTGTGAGGGCATTTTATGAGGTTGTCCGTGACTCCCTGACCTCAGCGCCAGGCCCCGGCCCGCTCCCATGGAGCATCCCTAGTCCTTTCCCACTCTGGGCATGCTTGATGCCAGGCTGAAGCCCCTGGACCTGGAAGTAAGGTGTTCTCAGCGTGCAGAGCCATTGGGGGGAGTCACAGCATGGCCCAGAGCCTTCGACTCCTTGCTGGCCCGTCACCGGCTGTGTGCCCTCAGGCAGGTTCCAGCGTCTGTGGGTCAGTGTCCTCATCTGGGGGAAGTGACAACCGGTCTGTGATTCTCAGTTCCAGGCTCTGCACTTCAGGCCTCTGTGATCCAAGAGCTCACGGGAACACTTGCCCCTTGGCCTGTGAGGGCTTCACGCGTCTCCCGGGCAAGGAGGGCTCCCTGTGTGTCCCTTGCTCTGACCTCTTCCCGGGCCTGAGCCCTTTCCAGGCAGCTCTCTGCCATTCCCACCTGGCGGGAAGAGGATGAGTTTGTGCCCGGGTGGATGGGAAGGGGCCAGCGCAGGGTGGGAGACCCACTCCCCAGCCCTGGGGCCTGGACTGCAACAAATGAACGAGTGTTCTGGAAGCACGGGGGATCTTCAGCGGCAGGGTGTGCGACCTCTGGTCAAGCCCTCTGGTCAAGACCTGGTGGTCTGGTATCAGCGCACTTGGGCTTTGCACGAATGGCACTGGTACCGTCCAGCTCAGGAAACCTTTACTGAGCACCTACTGTGTGTGAGGCGCTGTGCTGTTGCTCTGGGACCGGCCCGCAGTCCTGTGGAGGGGACACGAGCCTGCTTTGGCCTGCCGTCCGTGCAGGAGCCTTGGCTGGTGTCTCCTGGGCATTGCTTCCATTTAAAGTCTCACGTTAGTGGGGGTAATTACTGCCATTTATAGACAAGGAAGCCGGGGCCCAGAGAAGTTGAAGAACTTGCCCCAAGTCACCCAGCCAGTGAGTGGCAGAGCTTGGGCTGTGCCCCGGCCTCCCGTTTCCAGGTGTTGGAGGCAAGCTTGGGGTGATGGCGGCAGGGGGCCCTCGTGTTTGCGAGGAACCTTGCAGTGTAAAATCCCAGCTGCCCCTCCCAGCAGACCTGGCAGGCAGGCACTTAAGTATTAGTGGCGTTCTGTGGGTGGGGAAAAGGGCACATGAGTTTTCTTGAATTAATTTCAGAACTGAACCCAGGACTCCTGGTCTAGCCCTCATTCACCCGCACCAGTGCCTGCCGGGTAGACGGCAGGCACATAGTAGATCCTCAGGAAGGGTTTGTTGGCATCCTCGGGGAAGGCCTCTTTGTCTCTGTGCCTCCTGGAGGATGGGGCAGGAGCCGCCTGAGCTGTCTGCACCTACCCCCCCATGCCCTCCCCTTTCCGTGTCTTCCAGGCCCTGATGTCCCTCTTTGTCCTGGCCTCCAAGGATGGCTGGGTGAACATCATGTACAACGGACTGGATGCTGTCGCTGTGGACCAGCAGGTGCGTGTGGGCTAGGGCCGGGGGCGGTGGGGGGAGAGGGATGCGGTGTCTTTGGGGCCCAGCTGTCTGAAACTGGAATCGGCAGAACCCACGGCCCCGCCGCGGCCCAGCCCACACCATCCTCGCCCGGGTCATCCACCCTCAGGCTGCTCTTGGGCAGCGGAAGTCATTGTTCCGTTTGCTTCAGCAAATCCCCCTGCCGTGCAAGGGTAGCGCTCCCAGCCGGCTTGTGCGCGGAGGGTCAGGGCCTTGTGCGGGTAGAACCAAGGGCAGGAGGAGGAAGAGGGGGGCTGTAGCAGCAGGCAGGGTCAGGCCTGAGGCGTGTTTGGGGAACTGAGCGTCGTCGAGGGCAGGAGGTGGTGGAGGGTGTAAGTAGGGCAGCGAGGTCGGGAGGCCCCCCTGCGCGAGCCAGGGCAGGGGCCGGAGTTTCGCCCGAGGCCAGTGGGAGTCCGTGAGGGTGTCGGAGCCAGGGTCTGCTTGCGGGGGCTTCCCGAGCCTCTGCAAAGCGCCGCGCCCTGCGCCCTGCGCCGCCCCATCGCCTGCCTCAGCCCCGTCTGCTCCCCGCAGCCGGTGCCCAACCACAACCCCTGGATGCTGCTCTACTTCATCTCCTTCCTGCTCATCGTCAGCTTCTTCGTGCTCAACATGTTCGTGGGCGTCGTGGTGGAGAACTTCCACAAGTGCCGGCAGCACCAGGAGGCCGAGGAGGCGCGGCGGCGCGAGGAGAAGCGGCTGCGGCGCCTGGAGAAGAAGCGCCGGAGTGAGTGGGTGGCCGCACAGGGCGGGCCGGCCCGGGCCCAGGCCTCCTCCGCCTGCGCCCCTGGTCCCTCCGGTGCGGCGGCCGAGGCCTGGGTCTCACCCTGGGAGCAGGAAGGGAACAGAGGGTAGACTCTGTGCCCCTGGCCCTGCCCCTTCTTTCCGCATCCGCCTGTTTGGGTGACCCCGCCCCCTGTCGGTGTCCACCCGGAGTCCACCGGCAACTCCCCAGTGGCTCAGCCCAGCAGAGGGCAAAGGCCCGGACGCCTAGCCCTGAGCTGTGGGACCCCTGCAGCAGCAGACCCGGGGCCCTTGTGTGCCCCGTGGGCATGTTTGGGGTAGATAGGGACGGTCACTGTCCCGCCCTCCTCGCTGCCTTCCCCTACCTCCTATCCCTTTGCCTTGCGGCCCCCTGGCTGGGCGGAGGAGACCTGAGTCTGACTCTCAAGTCCCAGGGTGTTCTCACGTCTCTCCCCTTGCTTCCTCCCTCCTCTTTGCTGTTCCCTCTTGTGCTCTGTTTCCCTACCTGGGCCCCAACCCTCTGTGGTCTGTGCCACTCCCCCCCCCCCCC